TGGAGCCATGCCCTTATCAAGCTCGGCTCGTCTGCCAAGTTGTAAGCTAGAGTTGAGCTCGAATGGCGAGCTTGAGCTCAACTCGTAGTGGTAGCAGCCGGCTCGCAAGCTCAAATTAAAAATTCAAATTTTACGTGAGCTCACCAGAGGAGGAGGAAGATATAGTAGCAGCTCACCGAAAAATGTGTCGAAATGACTAGGGTAGGTTTATCGAGCCAGCTCACAAGCCAACAAACCGAGCCCGGATGAGCTCGAGCTTGTTTAATAAATGAGTTCAAGTTTTAGCTCAAGCTCAAGCTCATGGCTCGATATGCTCGACTTGTGAGCTCGCTAATGAGCCGAGCTCAAGCTGGCTTGCAACATTGCTCGGCTCATTTAAACCCCTAAGTTTGACTGATATTGAATACTAATAAATACAAAGAACAGCAGCAAGATCCTCAAATAATCAAATACACAGATTGTGATTAAAAAGGATCCAAAGGAACCTATTAAAATAAATAATCACTTTAGAGTGTCTGGTTGCTCCTATTGATCCCATCAACCAGACCAAGCTTCCATTACACACATTAGAGATGAACAGTTTATTTTCTTGATCAAATCCTAGAGAGGTTCCAATAAAGTGCGTAAATTAAGAGAAACAAAAATTAAACCAGAAAAAAATTACATCAATGGTAGCTTGAAGTTGAGAGAAAAAATTATTTTACTAGACACCTACAGCTTGCCTGTAAAGAAAAAAAAAAGTTGAGGATTGTTTAGCTTCGAGTGGGCTTTAACTCAAGTGGGATTTCCTGAATCCTATAAATCCAAATTTACAAATATTGAGCCATTTAAATCCTAAATATTGTTTAAAATATAGAACTTGAATCAAATTAAATCTTAGTGAATTGTTCGGCAACTTATTAAACTTTAAATTGATTAGTGAAGATATGATTTTAGCATTAATTATTGATGACACAAATTTTATGGCTGATTTAAGTTTTGTATTATTTCCAATTATGGTAATCATTGATTATTAAAATTCCAAGGTAACAAACTTTTAATTAGATTTGTACTAAACTAATTAGTCATTAATTAATACTATTCATTCGTTAGTATAAGATAAAATTGAATTAAGCATTGATTAATAATTTACTGAGCAAACAAAATAATTATTTTTATTAATTCAATTTACATAAAAATAATATTATTTTAAAAAAATAAATTTTATTCATATTACTAATGTGTATCATTAATAGTGTTTTTATTTTTCTAATTTCTAATTACGACAATTAAATTGCATTTAGAACACCATCAATTGTACTTCATATAGAACAACAAAGAGCGAAGTAAACAATTTAAGATAATAGTGTGAATCACCTATTTCAACTAATATATTGAATAGAAACGGATAGTTCAATACTTGAGCTCATAATTTCAATTCTGAAAAAAAAAATAGCAACTGTTTCTTTATAAAATGACAGACCTGGCAATGAACACCACCGAGCAGCAAGACTGCAAAAAGCCAAGGAATAGCAACAAATATTTTGAAGAAATAAAAAAGAGATTTGCAATCGCTTTTTCATTCTACTAAAATAAGAAATACATCAAAAGGTACTGGAGGGAAGGATTAGAAGAGGGCGGGGAGGAATAAGCTTGGCTATGTGTGGAGACATCTCGAACTGTTCCCTGTAGAAATATGGCAGCAGCACACATCACGGCAAGACGAGGGAAAAATATCTGTAGAGCTCGCCAAAATCAGTTATACCAGCTGAACTAGGGATTTAGTAAATCCTTGATTTGCGGCAAAATGGAGTGAGCAAGGGATTTAAGAAGCTGCATGATTTTTCAGAGCATTAGTTGCAGTTGGGAAGATTTTGCGGTAAATCCTACTTAAACCCGCTACCAAACAGACCCTTATAAGAAAATCAACCAAAATCTAAGCTATTTCTAATTTATTGGTTGGGGCAACGATATGCTATAAGCCAAATTGAGATTTTTGAATAAGCGCCACAAACTTCACACAATTCTTGCAGATTTATCTACAATCTTCTAGATTTTTCATACATGAGATGTTATCAAACACTTATAACGCAAAGAATCATGAAAGCCAAAAAAAAAAGACCAAAAACAGAGAGGGGTTATGAGGTTCTATCAAAACTGGCACATGGTAAATGACAACAAAAGTTAGTAGATCACCTCACATCACATCGATACTCATACAAGTAATCGAACAGGTAAACTACAGATCAGATATCCAATAAAAAGAGATAAAATTCATCATTAAATTCCAAAAATTTCTTTTGAAAGTTGTGCACCACACTATTTTGTTCTAATTAAGAAAAAAAAAATCTCCTAACATTCCGCAACCTTTCCATCAGAGACAATAAAATTCCAAAAGCTATCACAGAAATATCACTCGACACAAGTAAAATTCCAAAAGCTTACACGGTCCACACCAGGCGGCCGTGAAGTAGAAAATCGACGGCAATTTCTCATCTGCAACACCAAAACAAAAACAAATTAAGCATATACCCATCAACCCAAGTTTACAAATAACAACCTAATTCAAAATCTTCACAAAAAGACTAACCCTGAGCCTTCTTAAGCGCCGCATTAAAACCTTCCTCAGATCCAATATGAACAATGTTAGCAGGACCTGCAACCATTCATTACAAATTCTCTCAGAATTTAAACATCGTGAAGTTCTTCTGCAAAAAGTGGTGGGAGGCAGAAAGAGAGATTACTTGAAGAAGTGGAGGAGATTGCGCGGGAGAGTAGAGGAAAAGGGTTTATAAAACGGAGGGAAACCGAAGAGTGAGGACGGATTTCATGCTGCAAGGATCGATGAAGCTGGTGGAGAGAGGAAGGGTTTGGGGAGCAGGTAAGGGTTTTGGAGTGGAGAGCTGCAAGAGAGCGTAGGCGCAGAAAAAGATCCCGCCGCATCTAAGAAATTTATTTTTTAAAATTCTTCGAAAAAATTATACTGCCCATCATAATTTCTTTAAATTTTATTTTTTATTATGAAATAATTATTTTTAATAACATCTTAAATGATGTTTGGGTGCACTGGTAACTCTTTTTTTCTTCTCGAGAAATATGAAGCCCAAATAACAGTATGTATAATTTAAATATGAAACTTTATGATAAAAAACTGCATCATAATCACTATATCACAGATAAAAACGCTAATTATAAGTATTTTTTAGCAACATTTATGTCATTTTATTTTTTTTAGATTAATGTCATATTTTGTTAGTGTAATTTTATTCTTCTTTTCTTTTTTTTAATATTTTGTTGTTCTTTTACAAGCTATTATATGCTAAAAATTTCATGACTGAAAATAGAGTTTATATGCGAATTCATTGCAAAAAGAACCCATAAATGAATACATAAATAAAAATAATACAAGAGACATTAATTTTTTTTTTTGCATGAAACCATAATGAAAAAAAAATCACATATTTTTACTTAATCAAAATAATTTACAATGTAAATGAGACAAGAAAAAAATAAGCTACTTTTAATAATTGAAGAAGACAACATTACAAAGTTGTGAGCCATTAATTAGTCTTTTTAATAATGGTGATCAGCCAACCATGATTTGATGACGATGATAAAAAAATTACAATTAAGCGATAATGATTGTGATATAATGATCATGTTATAATAATCAAGTATAGTCGTCGAGCAAGCAACGACACTCGGAAGATGATGATCAGATAATAGATATCAGATGACAAAAGATCAAAGAATAATGATCAAGGAGTTGACAACGTCGGTGATGGCGATCATCTACTTCAGCCATCTGGCAAAACTTTAAAGGCCCTCAGATCTCCAAACCTTCTCTAATTTACAATTTAAAAAGTTAAAATAGTCATACTTTTATGTGATACAAAAATTTTGAATATAAATAAATAAATAAACGTGTTAGATTTGTAAATAAACATGAATTAGGTGGTAAATAAATAATTTCAGCTTCTCTCCCGTTTTCAAAATGAAAATATAACATTCATCCATAACACAAACATAACACAAAAAAGTGATTAAATGAGCAACAAAGATATAAATTTAAAATTAAAGCCGCAATAGTAAGCATCTCAACATCATCAAAATGCAAACTTTAAATTAGAAATAAAGCCATTATTTAGCAGAGAACTCTCTTTCAAAAACTAGAAGCAGCTTCCAGTCCAGACTCCAATTTCAATGCCTGAAATGTCTTACATTGGTGAAGAGCAGAGAGACTCCATATTTATTGCAGCAATCTACAGCATCTCCATCTCTAATACTTCCTCCAGGTTCTGCAATAACCTCAACGCCATTCCGGCAAGCCTCTTCCACCGCATCATTCCATGCTGTTCAGATTATAATTACATAAGTTCTGAAGAATTTATGTGAAAAAATATGATTTTTATACCAAAAATGGATGTTTTATGGATATATTGAAGTTTTCTTTGTGCAAGTAAGAAGAAAAGAGACAATTACATGCATGCCACTCAATTCCTATATATTTGCATATCTAATGCTTAAACTTTACTTTTTTTATTTTTATATCACCCTGATTGTTCATGCCACATAAAACATGCCACCATTTAAACCCTAAACCCTAATTACATGCATATCAACCAAAGCATTGCTATTTATAAAATTTAGTGCCCAGGTGATATTTTTGAACTATAGAAATGACATATTTACATGTGCCACAATGAAATCATTGAGAATGAATTTTGATATTTGAGTGAGAACATGGAAAAATAGATGAAAGAGGGCGGTATATTTGTAAATAGCAATGTTTCAGGTGTATGTATTTGCCCCTTTTAACTTGGGATAAGTGAGGTGGTGTGTGTGTAAAAATTGAAGTTGGAAGTGTTAGATATGTGAATGCATAAGAATCGAGTGGTTTTTATGCAAATCTTCTTAAAAAAATTATATCAATAAGCCATGGTTGGATGAATGTAAAGTGGCACTTAGAAAAAAGAGTAATGCAAACCAAAGGGAAGTTAAGGGCTTTGCTCCTCGTCCGAAGATTTGGTTTTGGATGGCTACAACCATTTGTAAAATTAATAGTGAGATTATTACGAGAAAATGTGAGATTTTAAAAAATTTTCTAAGAATTTTTTAAGCATATATGATTTAACTTTTTATGAGTTTTTAATGTTGGAGCAAAGCAAATGGTAATTTTTAGAGGCAATGTGAGTATATATGCATTCGAACCGAACCTAATGTGCACAAAAACATAATCACCCTCGTTGAAATCCCAATTTCTTTTATGAACATTTGATAACATTTTATGTATTTAATTTGTTAGGAAACATGATAATAGATGTTAGTATGAACTATGTAATTTATGCTATATTTCCACAAAAGAATTGTTGGATGAGAAATATGATGAATGTTGTGGAAATGTAGCAAGATTTGAAAATAAGAATGGCATGTGGCGCAATATCATCATCACTACATTTTAAAAGTCAAATACACCTTTCCATACATGAGTTTATCTCATCAAAGTATTAATATGTAGATAGATAAGGATTGTGTGGTGTGTATGTAAATTTCCCAAATTTAAAATAATGGACGAGATCCAATGGTGAGTTCTAAAAATAATCTAAACGGCAAACAAACAAAAAAAGTGTCATGGAAATTAACATGATCAAAGCCGCTCAACTTTGAAATTGGTCGTTTTAGTCCCAGAGTTTATAAAAATGACCATTTAGTCCTTTGTCTTTTTTAAAATAGACAAAATATTTCCCACAGATGACTCGAGTAGCTCGCAGCCATGGACGACTCAAGTAGCTCACAGATTCAAGAAGGGTTAGCCACTCTCAAAATCTCCGAAATCTCTATTCCTTTGTCCCTGAAATTTATGAGGACCAACCTGAAAACAATGGTTATGACAGCCCTATATGCGGATAATTATCAACTGCCAAGATCCCAAATGATCAAGATTACTAAAGCAAATGAGTTCTTGAGATTTCTTGATGGATCTTTACCCTCTCCCAACCTTGTCATCGTCGCCAAATCAGGTACTTTATCAGTGAATCCTACTTATACTACGTGGATGTTGATTGATCAGAAAATAGCAGTTGCTTTATATTCCACAATATCGGCATCTATCTTGCCCTATGTCTTGAATCTGGATAGCTATCATGAAATTTGGACTGTGTTGGAGAAACAGTTGCAATCTTTCAATCGCTATCGGGTCATACAGTTAAAATATAAATTACACAATATGTCGATGCGCAATCTTACAATGACACAATATTTGATGCAAATTAAATTGATGATTGACAATATATTGGCTGTCGGTTCGAAAGAGGATCCTGAAGATATTATCCTGTATGTTCTGAAAGGTTTACCTCCTTCCTATCAAACATTTAAAACAACTATAAGAACCCAACCTGCTCCCATAAGTCTTGAGAACAAATATGCTCTATTAATCAGTGAAGAAAACAATCTTTCCTCTGAATTCAAAGCTGAAAAATATTGAACCAGATTCTCAAATAGCCTTATACTGCCACAAAGGAAAGGGAAAATTTTATAAACGCAAGGGCGGTTCTCGCAATTACTCATCGAAAAGAACTTAAAATCCTCCACCTACTTAAAATCCTCTTAAACCAAATCTTCTGGATCAGTTCTTTGTCAAATATGCAATAAACCAAGTCATGTAGCTCCTAATTGTTGGCACCGACTCAATGAGAATTATCAACCTAAGAACTCCAATGTTTCGGCTGCCACTACTTCACATTCGGCTTATGGTACTTCCTCCAATCCTTTAGTTAAATCAGACTAGTAAATGGATACATGAGCAACTTCTCATGTGACAGCTCACTACAGCCAATTGCATCTTCCTGAAACATATCAAGGTAATGAAAGGTAATCAAAGTGTGATCGTGGGTAATGGCAATGTTGTTCCTATACAACACTCTAAAGTGGCATTCTACCTACTCCCAATCATAAGCTAAGTCTCTCTAAACTATTTCATACTCCCAAATTTGTTCCTATACAGCACTCTAGAAGTGGCATTCTACCTACTCCCAATCATAAGCTAATTCTCTCTAAATTATTTCATACTCCCAATCACAAGCTAATTTCTCACCATCTGATATTCATATCTCAGTTAGCTCAAGATAAAAACTGCATGATTATTTTTTATGCTGCTGGATATCAAATGAAAGATCGAACTATTCAACAAGTTCTTCTTCAGGGTCCGTGCAGTAATGGATTGTATCGTGCTTCCACCAATACCCAATCTCTTGCTTCCGTTATCATTAATTCAGATCAAGGCATAGGCGTCTCGGACATGCTAATCTCCAAACCATACAACTCATTGCCAAGCAACTAACACATTTACATATTCCTAATAATTTTTCTTTTTGCACTTCTTGTACTAAAACAAAATGTCATTGTATTTTTTTCAAAAATTCTACAAGTACTCAATGTAATCCATTAGTTTTAATACATACAGATGTTTGGGGTCCCTCCTCAAATGTGTCTAATCAAGGCTACAGCTATTATGTGTTATTTGTTGATGACTTTACCACATATACGTGGCTCTATCCTATGACAAGTAAATCTGAAGTTATTCATCACTTTATTAAATTCAAACAAGAAGTAGAACTTCAGTTTAATCATAGAATAAAAGTACTATGGACTAATAATGGTGGGGAATACACTAGCCAACAATTCAATACTTTACTTATTATTTATGGAATTATCCAGCAAACTAGTTGTCCCTATACGCCCAACAAAACGGAATTGCATAAAGGAAAAATTGTCACATACTAGAAACTACAAGAGCACTTATGTTTGATTCCAATGTATCCCCTTCTCTTTGGCTTGAGATGGTCCTCACTACAACTAGATCAATCGGTTACCGTCCAAAGTGACAGCTAACAAGTCAACATATCAGCTTCTTCACAGCTTCTTCGTGGCTCTACAACGGATTACAGTCATCTTAAAACATATGGAAATCAATGTTTTCCCTGGTTACCGTCAATTTGCCAAAATAAACTTCAACAACACTCTATAGGTTGTGTATTTTTGGGCTATTTAAAGGGTACAAATGTTTTGATCCAACCACAGATAAGATGATCATCTCTCGTCATGTTGAAACTATTTATCCTAACAAACAACTTAAACGGCCCGAACCAATAACCCAAAACACCATCATTCCCTCCCCACTTACTCTCCTACCCGCATCTACTCTACAAACCTCCTATACCCCAAGTGTTCAACCCAGCCCCTCCACTAATCCAATACCAACAACCCTTCCAGAATTATCACAAGGAGCAAAGTACCCATTTCCAACCGATCCAGAAATAGAGCATGCTGAACCAACGGTAACTAACACCTCCTCCACATAAAACCTCTCCATACCTTTACCACCACCTTCTCAACAACCGCCGAAACATCCTATGGTCATGAAATCCCAAACAGGAGCTTTAACCAAAAAGAAAATTCTTGATTCGGAGCATGTTCAATTATCCCAATGTGAAACAACAACCTACAAACAAGCTGCTCAATATGATCACTGGCAGAAAGCAATGGAAGAGGAACTTTACTCCGTAAAAATAAAACACTTGGAAGCTTATTCCCGCTCCCGTCGATCAACCCATACTTGGCAACAAATGGACTTACAAAAAGCAAATGAAATTCGGACGGTTCAATGGCACGGTATAAAGCTTAGTAGCTTCGGGTTATCAACAAGAATATGGAGTCAATTATATGGTCAAATTCAGTCCAGTAGCAAAAATTTCAACAATAAGATTACTTCTCATTCTCACTCTTCATTATAAGTGGAAAATCTATCAGATGGATGTATCGAGTACCTTTCTTCACGTCAACTTCATGAAATGATTTATATGCATCAACCATCGGGTTACAAAGATCTCAGACATCCTTCCTATGTTTGTCTTTTACAAAAGTCTATCTATGGTCTCAAGCAGTCACCTAGACAATGGAATCACACCTTTACCACACCTTGTCAAATTTCAACCACAATTTCTCGATCGAAGAAATGGAGAGCTTTATCTCAATCCTTCTCGATTCAATCATCTAGTCAGGTCTCACCAATCTTACATTAACTCGACCAGACATTATGTTGCACCCAACTCTCTCTCTTAGCATTTACATAAACCACTTTAGAATCATTACCAAGCTCTCAAACGTCTCCTACGCTATCTCCAAGGGATGTTGGATCTAGGCATTCCATTCAAAGCTGGTTCTCTAGTTCTTCACATGTATGTAGATGCAAATTGGGCAAGTGATGTGAATGACAGAAAATCAATCACAGGGCATTGCACATTTATTGAACCTAATTTACACTCCTTGAATGTGAAAAACAATCGTGGAAAAATCTTCAACTGAAGCCGAGTATAGAGCTATATTCTCTACTGCCACCGAAATCATTTGGTTGTGACATCTTCTCCAAGATTTTCATATTCCAAGTACTAACCCCATAACACTCTACTGTGACAACATGTCAGTCATGGGCATTGCTTATAATCCTGTCTTTCAAACAAGAACCAAACATATTGAAATAGACTATCATTTCATCAAATATTACATCAAGTCCAATGAAATTAATCTACAATATCTCACTTTTGAGACATAAACTACAGATACTTCACCAAGGCTCTTCCTACTCAGTTTCAAAAGTTGCAACACAAACTAACAACATCAGCTACAGATATTGTTAATTCGAGGGAGCATGTAAAGGAAGACAAAAAAGTATATCACCTGATGGGGTCCATGCCTTTTATTAACTCATATCGTTGCATTTAATAGTTTTAAACCTTTCCTTTGAGTTTGTACCTATATACAGAGTGACTTCACTGTTCCATTGTGGGAATAAGATCAGATATTATTTCTTCCTCTTTCGCTTCTTCTTCCACTTTGTTACTGTTCCTTCTGCGATTCTTCAAATTTCTTATGCCTCTCTTTTACAGAGTGAAGCAGGTAATAAAAAAAGAGTGGTGAAAATCTGGAGGGGAACGGAGGAATGAGAAGGCTAAGGCGAACTCGTTTTATCTCATCACCATCAAACGAGTCATACAAGCAGACGAGCGGTGGAGGACAGCGTTAAGCACAGACCATATAAATGTTAGAGAACAAAACTTGTATAAGTACCAATCAACTACATCAAATCCGCGACCAAAAACTATACATAATAACTACTCATGATAAGATCGTAAAAGAGCCGGATAACGATGATGAAAAGTCTGTTGCTCTGCACTAGTTTTATGCCTAGAGATTAATTTAAGAGCCATGAGACGAATATGCTTTATTTCTATTCTTCATAGATGCAGCATCATATGAGAAGTTATTAGTGAAGGACTAGCTAATCGCACACGAAAACATCAATCTATATATTTGAAACAAGATTTGTTCACCCTGACAATAAATGAAATAGAAAAAAAATAAAATGAAAAAAAAAACCATGCAGTGATTTGCACAAAATAACAATTTGATATTTATCATTTGTTACAACGATGAAAGTGAAGAAAACATTTTTTATCAAAATAGTATCCCGATGCAAGCCAACTTAGCCTGGTAATGCGTTTTGCATGAGTATGCAATTAAATTCGCTCAAATTTCCAAAAAAAAAAAATGAGAACAATAATAATATCATGGTTTACTTACCGAAGGGAAAGAATGCATCGCTAGCCAAAGCAGCTCCCTTTGCCTCTTCTCCTGCTTTCGAGAAAGCGATTCTTAAGCTCTCTAACCTGTTTGGCTGACCACTCCCCATTCCCAACATGCAGTTATTCTGCAGAAAGAAATAGATTTCGAGTACTACGTTGGTGATTCATTTTTTGCAAATATAATAGAAAAAAAAAGTCCCAAGTCACTATTTTCTTGAGTTCATGTGCAATGGTTTCAGGTTTATTCATCTTTTTAAGGCTCTTTTAGCATCATTTCTGTTTTCTATTTTTGTTTTTATTTTTTCCTTTTGTTTTGAAACATGTTTGATTAGCATTTAAAAAAAAACAAATCAACTTTGTTTTAAAAAAAACCTAAAAACATCTTTAAAATTATTATAACAACCAGACATATTTTAAATCAATCAAAATAAAAATAAAATAAAATAAAAGATAAAAAATAAAAATGCAAAAATACAAAAGTAATCCCAAGCAGCCTCTTAATTACTTGTGGAAGATATGTTAACTTAGGAGTCATTTGGCGTCATTATGTCTTTTATTTTCTACTTTTAAATTTTATTTTATTTTGTTTATGTTTTAATTTAAAATAAAACATGTTCGGTATGTATAAGTAAGATATTATCATTTCTAAAAACACACAAAACACTTAAAAGTTATTTTAAGTGTTTTCAAAAGCATGTTAATTTGTGTTTAGAAAAAAAAATAAATAAAACAAGTAAAAAAGCATACTACAGACATGTTTTAAAAAATAAAAAATAAAAAAAAGATTAAAAATAAAACTAAAAAATAAAATTCATCCCAAACAAAAAATAAATAAATAAAACAAGTAAAAAAATATACTACAAATATGTTTTAAAAAATAAAAAAAAGATAAAAAAGATTAATAACAAAACTAAAAAATAAAATTGATCCCAAACAAGCCTTTGTTCTTGAATCAATAGTTGCATGTAAGATATGTTCTATCAGGTCATTAAGAATAGTTTTAAATTATAGTTCTATATTTTTAAGTTATTTATTTTTTAAATAAGTGAATGAAAATAGTAAATATTGATAAATGGCCAAACAAGTGGTGAGAAGAGGTAACCTTAGCAATGACAATTGCATTGCTCTTCACATGCTTTACACAGAGCCACGCAAATTGCGCATCTGACAACTCATTTGCCTGGGGGACCCTATCCGACATAACCTTAAATTCAGTTTCTCGTGGGATCAAATCATCAGAATCTTGAGCTAACCACCCCCCACTAACTTGTCTGAGCGAGAGCATTCCCTTTTGAGTCCTTTTCGCCTCAAGTATCCTCAAATTCTTTGACTTACCGCATAAGATCTCAAGGCCCTTTTCTGTATAGTTTGGTGCAATTATTATCTCATAAAACATTCTTGTTTCGCCATCGTTTGGGCTTCTAAACTCTCGGATTTCTTTCGCAAGATCCTAATAATGCAAAAAACTACAATTAGACATACAAAAATTAAAAGGTTCAAAAAGCCTCATCTACACACAATTATGAAATTTCAATGATGTTGATGATGATCAATCTAGATAAAAAATTTATAATTTGTAATGAAACTAACATCAACCTTCAACTTCTTGAGTTAAGGTAAGATAGTTATAGCTTAGATGAATGTGTTCTAGAATAAAGAATAATAGATTGAAAAATGATCATACAAAAGAGATGTGGGAGCAGTATCTATTGAAGATAAGATATGAAAAATAAATTCATGTGGTTTGGACATCTACGTAGAATAGTAGAAAGGGCAGAGAGATTAGAAAGAAGCTAAATGAAAACAGCATATATCAAAACGAATTGCGTAGAAAAAATCTAAACCCTATTGCAACAATCAACACTAACGAATGTAAAATGAGAAGTCATAAAACCGATTCTAAATAGTTGAGATAAAGCTATAATGATGATGATGTAGTGTCTCAAAAACATTAAATACCTCATCTAAAATTGTGTTGAAGGCAACAATTCCACCAAATGCACTAACAGGATCTGCTTTCACAGCCAATCTATAAGCTTCAAGGATGTCTTCTCTTGATGCTACCCCGCATGGATTTGTATGCTTTACAATCACACATGTAGGCTTTTCAAACTCTGAGACACAGTTCCAAGCAGCGTCCGCATCTAAGTAATTATTGTAAGACATTTCCTGTTTCAAAGTATATTTATAAAATTAAATCCTTCATCTAACATAAAAAAAATACAACTATTTTGACTTTTAGAAAGTGAAATACATCTTTTCATGTATAAGTAAGGTAGCATATGTGTTGTATTAGATAAGCAAATACAAAAGAATTGAGTGGTATGCATGTAAATCTTCTACTATATTAACCATATTTACTAAAAAGTAATTGAAGAAACAATTTAATGAATCTACACTTAGAATTTTGGCGATAAATATTTAAGAATAACAGATTATAGATAATTTAAAATATAAAGATGTTCAATCCAAACTTTTAAGGAATTTATAACGAAGTTACAGCTATTCTAAACCACGGAACCCATCTTTCTCGAACCTTGTATTTTTCTGGTGAATTCCACAAATCAAGTTTACTATATCCAAATCAATATTTAATACATTTTGTATTTTGGTCTTATAGCTCCTATTATGCTACTTGGCTCAAAAATATGATCCCTTGTCATCAGAGACCAGTTTTATAATTCATTCATCATCAATAAACTGACATTTCAGTCCCTTTGATTGTACACATTTCTAAATGATGAGGAAAAAAATCCCTTCAGAAACTATCTGGATACCTTTGCTATCGAGTAAAGCGCAAAAATAGTCTCGTGATTGTTTACATGATGCCATTTTAGTATCAGAGTCTACAACAGCGTCAAAATAGTCCCTGGACTAATGAAATTGGGGCTAAAATAGCCCTTCATGGGGATTGTTTCAGCCCATATTAAAATTATCTGAGGATTAAATTGACACTTTTTATATACTCTAAAACTAAAATGAGCCCTTCGCAATGATTCGAGGAACTTTTTGTTTTTTATTTTTGCCATCTTAAAACAATAACTTAAATCATTGTGAACTTGACTTATCCATTTGTAAGCAGCCACATCACCTTTCCAACACAACCAGCCTAATCAAATTCATACCATGACCTCCCTACACAATCTCACCACCATGAACCCCAACTACTTTCTTCACAATCGCTGCCTCTAATACTCCTTTCACACTATACTTTCTTGAATAACAATCTTCCACAAATGAATACAAAGACTCTTATCAAATTTTGTAACGTGCAAGCAAAGTCATCAGAAAATCAACAAATAAGCAGCTAAAATATGTCCCGAAAAACTTTTTAAACATGTTGCACCTTTCCATGATGTTGGATAGCAGTTCCAATGCCTCCAAAATTCACCAGAGAGAGACTCTTATCGTCGTAAAATGCTGCCTTTTGATGAGGATTTTCCCCATACCGAAGAGCGCACTTCATCGTAAGTGGCACTGTAAGGCTGGGAGGAAACTTGCCTTAACAAGAAAAAATAAAAATGATATTTTGCAGAAATATGTATTATGTTCAAAAAACATTTATTCCATATGATACCTTGTGGAGATTGCTTCCACAGCCATTCTGAAACTGCTGAATCATAGGAAGCAACATGTTGAAAAGCTTTCCAGGCAAGTTGCCTGCGAAATTGCTGATTATCTTCTTTTCCTTGCAGAAATTTGAGAAGGGAAGGATAGTCTTCAGGGTCTACGACAACCAAAACATCCACGTGATTCTGTTCAAAAAACTAAATTCAATGAAACAGCTATAAAAATTAAGGAAGATTTAAATACATTCCACTCAATTCCTATTTAATTACATATCTAGCACCTAAACTTCAATTTCTAATATATGACACTTATGCATGAAAAAGTGTATTTGACCTTTTACAAGTTAAAATAACTGTATTTTTTATGTGATATGAAAGATTTACATGCTCAAAATATGACAAACAAAGTTTAGGTATTAGATATGTAAATAAGTAGGAATTAGGTGGTAGGTATGTAAATGACAAAAAATCAAATGGTGGCATATATGTATTCGATCCAGCATAATGACCTTGGCAGCAGCGCGAATCAATGTTGGGCCACCAATGTCAATATTCTCAATGCCATCCTCAAATTTTACTCCACTTGCTGACGTGACTTTCGAATAAAAGGGATACAGGTTCACAACCACAATATCAAATGTCCCTAGACCAAAATAGTTAACATGTAAATAAACAAAAGTGAGATAGGACGCATGAGTACATGTTTCGTACACTATACGCATTTGCCGCCACATCAATCACAATCAAATTTGGGGTAGAAACTCACCAATTCCATGCTCACTTAAAGCATCCATGTGGTGAACAATGTTCCGTCTAGCAAGAATGCCACCATGTATGTTTGGATGTAAAGTCTTTACTCTACCGTCAAGCTGCATAAACCAAAATTTTTACCAAAAAATATTTATAAAGAGTAAATCCAAAACATCGTAAGATTCTCGACATCCTACCACCAAGAGTCTATTTAAAATAGCTCTATGCCTGCTTTATGTTTCAGAACATTATCACGATTCTACTTGGATAATTGCTTTCTAGTTGTTTTATTAACATTTTGTAGTGAGATGATGTGCTTTGCAATAAGATCTGTAAAATGTGGCAGTTGCAAGAAAGCTGTTTTATGAATTTTAGGAAAAAAATAAATATTTATAATTCACATCATAGTTTTCTAATAAGTTACTTTCCCCATCACAACTTTACAATCACCATTACAAAAAAATTAAAACCGTCCCAAACAAGACCTTAATCTCAG